AATTTAACTTAGGGTTACTATAGAGAGAGCATTAAATTTTTTGATGGCCTAGTAAAGCCAAATATATTTCAGAAGTAATTCTGGGCTAAAGGGTCTTATTTTACAGATAAGACCATAAGGGTAGAGAAAGGTTAAATAATATGTCCCCAAGAGACACAGCTAATTGGCTGAAAGGTCTGGTCTAGAATACAGATACCTTGAGTCTTGTACCCTAGTCTTTGCTACATTCTGCTGCCTCTATTAGTGAAAGAATAATAAGAGGAAGGTCTGCAATATGATCATTTCTACCTAAAATTTTGTAAATGCTGTATAATCTATATTGTTCTATATATAGAAGAAGCTTAATTTCTAGCACCAGGAGGAAGTTCTTGTGGTGATTCCTCTCAACTTAGGCAGGATTGAAATTGGTGTAAACGTATGATCCAGGGCCAGGCAAGCACAGGACACCCAAGTTGAGCTAAAACCAGTGCTGAGAGTTCAGCCAGCAAGTGCCAGAGTGGCCAAGTTGAAATGACAATCACCCCACATTCGCCTTGTCTTTTAAGATCCCCAAGTAGGTATCCCTATTTATTCAAGGGCTTTTGTTCATGCCATCTGCTATTGACTAAACATATGTATCCCCCAAAATCCATATGTCAAAGCCCTAATCCTCCGTGTGATGGAGGTAAGGTCTTTGGGAAGTAATCAGGTTTAGATCAGGTCATGAGGGTGGAGCTCTCATGATAGAATTAATATCCTTATAAAAAGAGGAAGATATACATAATATCCTCCCTCTCTCTCTCTCAAGTATCTCTTTCATCTCTCCCCACCTCCCATGTGAATGTTCTAAGGAAAGGCCATGTGAGACCATAAGGAGAAGATGGCATCCAAAAACCAGGAATATAACTCTCACCAAGAATTGAACGCACTGACACCTTGATCTTGGGCTTTCCAGCCTGTGAGAAATAAATGTCTGTTGTTTAACTCCTCACTCAGACTATGGTTCTTATAGCAGCCCAAGAAGACCAGTACAATAATTGGTACCAATAAAGTGAGATGCTGCTAAAACAAATACCTAAAAATACGGAAATGACTTTGGGACTGGGTAATGGGTAGAAATTGGGAGAGTTTTGAGGCACACACTAGAAAAAGCTAAGGTTCCTATAAAGGGCTGTTAGAGATGATTCTAGTAAGGCTCAGAAAGAAAAGAGGAGAGCTCTAAAGAGAGCTTCTATTTTCTGAGAGAATATATAAATAATCATGAACAGAATGTTGGTAGAAATATGGACAGTAAAGGCCATTTTGTGTAAAGTTTCAGGTGGAAATGAGAAATGTGCTACTGGAAACTGGAGGAAAGGCAATCCTCGTTTTAAAAACTTGACTAAGTTGCATTTGTGTTCTAAAGTTTTGTGGAAGGTAGAACTTGCAAGCAATGAAATTCTATATAGCTGAAGATATTTCTAAGCAAGGTATTGAAGGAGTGGCTTGTTTCCTCCTGACTGCTTATAGTAAAATGCAGGAAGAGAAAAAGACTGAAGAAGGGATTGTTAATTAAAAAGAAATCAGAACTGAAAGATTTTGAAAAGTCTTAGCCCATTCATATTACAGAGAACACTAAGGGTGTGGTGAAGCAATCACTTGATAAGGAGATTAATATGGGTAAGAACATGGACCCAATCAGCCACCCCAGAAGAAACACTGCTAGTTTGCACTGAAGGGGGCAAGGAGGAGATTAAATGAAGGAAGGCTGTCAGACTTCTTAAATCCTTCAAGACTAGACCATAGAGCTATCTGGCTGCCAATACAATTCTTTAGGACAACAGAAGAATGACCCTGAAAGTAAATCATCAGAGCTGCCTTCTTGCTTTCAGAGGCAGACAGAGCAAATACCTCCTTTTCAACAGGCCAGATGGTGGATTCCTGGAGCAGTGGAGGTGAAGCCACCCAGAGCCTGGAGAACATGACCCTTCACTCCTGCCTGGAAGAACCAACCACACCACCTGGATGAGTCTGGAAGGTAGGACCTCTGCCCCAGTGAGCCCCAAAAGATAGAGAATCATATTAAAGAGAATTATTATTGAGCCTTAAGAGCTCATGAAATTTGCTGTGCTAAGTTTTGGACTTGCTTGGAACCCATTACCCCTTTCTTCCTTCCTTCCTTCAGATTTCTCCTTTTTTGAATGGGAATATCTATCCTATGCCTGTTCCATCATTGTATTTGGAGAATAAATAACTTTTCTCGGGCTAGAGAGGAATTTTGCTTCAGGATGAATTATATCTCTACTTTCATCTATATCTGATTTAGATGATACTAAGACTCTGGGCATTAGAATTTAAAATTGATGCTTTGAACATGTTAAGATTTCTGGGGCTGTTGAGATGTAATTAATGTATTTTGCATGTATGGGGGGGCCAGAGGTAGAACACTATAGATTGAATATCCCAAAATGTATATGTTAAAACCCTAATCTCCAATGTGATGGTATTTGGAGGTGGAACATTTGGGAAGTAATTGGGGTTAGGTTAGGTTATGAAGGTGGGGACCTGATGATAGTATTAATATCCTTATTAAAAAAAGGAGAGGCACAAGATATCTCCCCTGTGCCAAGAACATGAAGCAAGGAAAGGCCATGTGAGGACATAATGAGAAATCTGTGTCCACAAACCATGAAGAGGACCCTTACCAAGAACTGAATCCACTGACACCTTGATCTTAGATTTATGAGCCCTCAGAACTGGGAGAAATAAATGTCTCTTGTCTAAGCCATCCAGTCAATGGTATTTTGTTATATTTATAGCAGCTTGAGAAGATTAAGACAACATCCAATTCATATTGACTTATCTGACTTTAAACTCATTTCAACTCTTTGTTAAGAAGAGGGCTACAGCCTCTTCTTGCCACATATGTGCCTATAAACAGTAGCCTTCTGGTGACAAAGATTTAATCTACTAGCATGGGATTCAATAGATATAAAAACACAGTTAATTAACAAAAAATTTATTATTCACAATAGCCCATATGGAAAGAACTTATGTTTCCATTGACAGATTAATGGATAAAGAAAAAATACATATAATGAAATATTATTCAGCCTTTAAAAAGAAGGCAATTTCATCATTTGCCACAGCATGGATAAAACTGGAGGACATTATGATAAGTAAAATGAACGAGACACAAAAAGACAAATACTACATCATGTCACTTACCTCTAGAATCCAAAACATTCAAACTCATAAAAACAGAGAGTAGGGGGGCAAGGGGCAAGGAAAATGGGAGATGTTGGTCAAAGGGCACAAACTTTTGGTTATAAGATGAATGAGTTCTGGAGATCTAATGCACAGCATGGCGACAATAGTTGATAATACTGTACTGTATACTTGAAATTTGCTAAGAGAGTCGATCTTATGTATTCTCACCACAAAAAAAACAAAAGAACTATTTGGGACAATGGATACGTTAATTAGCTTGATTGTAGTGGTCATTTCACAATGTATATGTATATCAAAACATCACGTTGCATACCTTAAGTATATACAATTTTTATTTGTTAATTATACCTCAGTAAAGTTGAGGGGGAAATGATTGGATTCCAGGGACCATTCTGCTGTTAGCTATGTGGATTTGAGATTATGCATCCAGTATACACATTTGTATCCAAATGAGGTTGGACTAGAAAAATACATTTTATGTAGTGCTCCCAGAAACAGTGAGGTCTCCCAGAGGTGCCTCTTGGCTTTGTCATCTGAGTTACCAGGTTAGGCATCCATGCCTCCCAAACCCCCTTCAACCAGAGCTGCTCTGTTTTCATCTGCTATAGACACTGGTATTCTGCATAATGCTTAGCTGGGAAAAAATAATTCTACTGTAAAAAAATAAAATGTTTAAAATCCACAGGAGTAGCTAATCTTTAGGTGTCTAGCTCTGGCAGTCTGTGAGATATTCAGGGGGAGGGTGGCCCTTGCAGTGCCTTTCAAATCACATCAGGTAGTTCTGATCCTGCCTGGCTCAGGCTGAGTATTGGGATCAGACTGCATTACTGAAGGTGTCCACCACAGAGATTCTTAGAGCAGTCTCCTTACCCCACCCCTGAGCACTGCTCTGAAAGGCCTGGTAGGGCATAGCAACCCAGGATTCTAGATCCAATCAGAAAGGTGGGGATGAAATAAATTTGCTGCAGTTTTCTCTACGGCTTAGACCCTCTGTGAAAAAATTCTGGGATGTATAAAGGTCTAGCTCAACACGTTTAATTTCATTCAACAGATATTTATTGATGAATAGCAAATATAGGCTATCCATTAGCTTTGTACTACTATGCTTTGGTGCTGAGATTTGTCATTTTGTTTTTATATTGTGGTCATTGTTTGTTTTTGTTGTCGTTGTTATTATTTTTCCATACTTCACCCAGAAACTCCAGCTCCTACAGCTCCATAGAGTAAAAATATTTAGGGACTCCCTCCTGCCCCTCTACATATATTTCCATTGAATTCTTCCAACCTCTATTGCCCAGTTGCTGAGTGACCCTTACAGAGTTAGGTACAGGGATAAATAGAAGAAAAGTTTAAAAGATATGGCCACTGTCTTCAAGGATTTAGAGTGTACCTGGGAGAAAAAAAACTTCGACACACAAGACCAGCAGGTAACAAAGGAAGAGTGCTAAATTAGCCACAGCCACCTGCCAAAGGCATGGTACTGACACTAAATTTGCTTGGCAGTCTGGAAAGGGCAAGATCAGAGCAAGCTGAAGTGTGTGTGTGTGTGTGTGTGTGTGTGTGTGTGTGTGTGTGTGTGTGTGTTTTGTTTGGGTGTGTGTGGGGGGGAGTTGACCTGTTTATTGAAGGGTTAGAAAGATTGGCACACAAAGAGAAAATGACTCCTTATGGGGAAGGGGAGAGCACAGAAGACAAGCTCAGGGAGCGCTGAGGAGATGAGCTGCTTTGGGGCAAAACCTTACTGTATCAGAGAGCCTAGACACCCAGCCTCTGCCACCACCTGGGTGGAGGTTGCTGGTCAAGTGCCTTACCTGGTCTAGATCTGAAGCTATCATTTTCCAATAAAAATTAGCTCCTGGGCTCCTACTTTTCTCAAAGACACTACTTCATTTAAATATGTTTAATGCCTGCAGTGTGCTTAGTGCTCACTACCTGCAAGAGAGACACACATTATTATTACCATAATCATCGTTTACCACCTGCTTGCCTCACTTGAACCCATTACTCATGCCATCCCTCTCCCAGGAGGAACCCTTTGTCATCTCCTAGGGTTCATATACCTGCTCTTTGGGAGACGCATTTACTAATTCTTAAATTTTAAAGTGATCACTTCCAAATGCTCAGGGAACTGGTATTAAATTTGGATTCCTCAGTAAATATGCTTGCTTTTCAGAAGTTGAGGGTGGTTGAGGGTGGGTCAGGACTCTTTCAAAGTCAGTAAGAGAAAACAACCTATTGAGTGATTTAGGGAATATAAGATTCAAAGTATCTTCCAAAGTAGGGGTCTTCCCACGTGAGAACAATCTTCCACACTTTCCTGTTTCTCCCATGATCTCTTTTTCCTAAACTAGCAGTGATAATCTGGGAATAAATCCACATTTTCTAAGGGAGAAATACTGCCAAGCTTGCTAATCTCATGCAGATGTGATGATACTTTTACTATGTTGTAATATGGCTTCTTAAAAAACAAGTTGGAAGGAGGGGGGAAAAGCCCACCAAAAAAAAAACAACAAATATTCGCCAACCCATATGGTCAGTAATTGCTGTTTAATAGTCCTCCTATTACAAACCTAAGAGGCAGCAGTCTGAATTACCAGTAGAGTATTAATAAACAGGAATGAGTTAATAGTGCATAAAGACCTTCTAGTGGAACAGTGGGGGAGTTGAATATTCTTTTCTTCAGTCAGCTGTAAGTAATTACTGCATGGTGTGCTTCTGACTATTACCATAACAGAGCAATTGGACGTGAAGAATGGATAATAGTATGGACATGGAGGTATTTTTAGAATATCAGCAGTGAAGCAGGTAACCGGTCTACTCCAGTAGAAACCTTTAAATAAGTTTAGAAGACTTATTTTTTTTTTCCTTATGACATTTAGCCATGGTAGAATTTTAAAAAGATCAATCTAATAAATTATTTAAAATAACTTTACAAAGAGGACGCCTGTGATATGTAAATAAGAAGGCAAGAAGGGAGGAAGGAAAAGCCTAAAAAGCCCAGGCGGACAGGAGGCAGGAGCCTACGCTACTGTAACTACATAATCACAGGTTCCCTCCCGCTCCTGGGAGACACAGCCTTCCTCTGCCTGGATGCCCAATCTGCCTGACTGGCTCCCGCTGGCTGCGCAGGTGAAAGTGAAAATATTCAAATCAGAGCTGTAACTATGATTGCTGGAGTTGTGGGTTTTCTAAAATTGAGTTAGTCATCCTCAGTGATTTAATGATGCATATCATTTATTTTAAAATATTATTACAGGGGCACTGACTGAGCTGCGGCTCCTTTTTCGAGGGACTGTCCATTATGCGATGCGGCGGGGTATGTCGTGGACGGCGGCAGGCTGGGATATTGTCTAACGGCACAACATATGTTCTTGGATGAAAACAGCTTGAGCCTTTGATTCAGAAAGCGGTAATTTTGTAAATGCACACAAATATCATTTAAGGAATATTTTGATTTTTTTTTTCCCAGGGTATAGGTCCTTCTCCTGCCTCCTGGCTGCACAGGCCGATGCTGATTTTTCAATTTGCAGGTTTGTTAAGCATCATGGAATGTTTTGGTTCTCAATCAAGAATATTCTTCCCAAGTGGTTCCAAAGTCCTACGCTTGAAAATAAGCGCATGTCCTCTTTGTCTCCTAGCAGCATGTGTTCCAACGTACAATAGCGGCACAGGACGGAGCAAGGGAATGCCTTTGATTGAACCATCCTATAGGTTTTTAACCTGCCACTCGCAGGAGCTGCAAGCTTTCTTAAGGCCGGGCGGCCTGCTCTCTTCTTTGGGCGGTGCTGGCAGCTGGAGTCCAGCGGGGGTGGTTAGGAGCCAGGACCCAAGTCCTCCTCCTGGCAGGATTCCTGGCCTATGTTGTTGCACAGAAGCTGAACAGAGGATGAACCACCCCAGTGCTAATGACCTCAGAGTCCCACCTGAAAAGGAGAAGCACAACCTATGGGACAGGTGGTGATGCTTAACTGATCTCTGCCCACCGCTTTGAAGTCCTCTGACAAACAAATGTGTGTGACATAAACACTGTCACATTTATTTTTCCTGAAAAACTGCATTATTGTGTCTGATCTCTACCAACAAGGATATCCTGATTTATCTAGACACGGCCTCTTTCCTGCTAAAAGATGCTGCAGTATAAATTTACAGCTGTGTATTTCACCTGTTTAGCTGGTGATTCTTAATAGAAGTCAAGGGCATACCTGTAAAGGTGTTATTGTGACCCAGGGAGAGAGCAACAGTTCTCCATGTTGCTGGTTTCAATGTGCTTTTCTTTCATGTGTTTGAAAGCTGAATAGTTCTCTTTTTCTTAAATCTACAGAAAGATGAGGAGAAAAGCAAATATGGTTAATTAAATGCCAATTTTTAAACAACATTTTTTTACATTGGGCAAAGATCAAAGGTCATTTCTAGAAAGTACTCACGACCTCATGCTATAGCATCTTTGTGTGTCTGATTCAGTGAAATTTTGAGATACTTACAATTGGCTTTGCATGTGACCTCACTATTTGTGATCATGAACGTGCCCCCATTTAAATTTATTCTGCATCTCCTATTAATCATGAAGTTCCCAAGGGCACAGGGTTACCTGTGGGTTTCATACCCAGGGTTGATCCCCTGTCCAAAGAATCAGTACACGAACTTCACAAGGAAATGATACCACCACCAATCAGAGCTGTTACTATTATATATCTAGAAAACCTTCAGGGGAGTAAAGAATAAGGGAATTCTCCCAAGAATGAGACTAATGGGGGGAAAGAGGGCTCCAACTCCTTTATGGTTCCATTTAGCTCTGAAAAGCCCAGGGGTGGAGGTGGGAAGAAATACCTAAAACTGTTAAGAAGCCAAATGGTTTCAGAGGCCACCATTTTATCACTTGAGGATATCACCTGGTAACTCTCCAGTCAAGGAGCTTAGTACTTTCAGGTGTTCCCATTGAAACAACTTAGCAGGTCAACCCTTCAATAAAAGCTACTGAGATGGTAAATTATTTAGAGTCGATTACACAACTCCATCCATAGAAAACTTCCCAGATTGGTTGAATTCCGCTACCCTATTCATGGGTTATCATGACAACCCGTAGGACTCACGAAAAGTCTTTTTTCCAGCATTTGGAAAATAATCCTCTGAAATGTCCAGTTATAAGATCTTGCAAATAATGATAATGAGAAGTCTAAATAATCTGACCTCTACCTACTTCATTGATTTCATCTGCTACTATCCTCCCTGGTCTTATTTTAGGTCCTCCATCACCTTGAGCTTATCCCTGCATCTGGGTCTTTGCAGTATCTGTTTGTTCTGCCTGGAATACATTCAGCCTCTGTTAAAATGTTCTTTCAAATAAACTTTTCTTAATGGCTTTTCAGTCATTCTGTAAACCTGCTTTATTTTAATCACATAATTTATACTGATATTTTACTGTTTGTGTTTATGCTAGCTTGAACTGTTCTTAATTCTTGACTACCTCTTTACTGTTTAATACACATGCCATGTCACATGTAACTATGGGTAGAAAATGGTCCCTGCCCCGTGGATGTTAGGCTTAGCTTTGTGACTTGCATTGGTTAATGAAATGTTGGCAGTCATGATGACAACAGAGATTTTAAATATATTGTGTGTCTTGCTTGGATCCTGGTGCTCCTGCCATTCCCTAGGAGAAAACTATACCTAGGTAGTCACTTTTTGAAGAAGAATAAAGCGACTCTTAGGACAAAACTGAACCTAATCAGAAGCCTAGAACCAAGTCCTCCTGTGACCTGAAATAGTGATGCTTCAGCCAACCCATGAGACCATTAGCAAGAAGATAAATACTTGTTTAAGTTACTGAGTTTTGGGTTTGGATATGAGGTTTGTCATATAGCATTACTGTGGCAATTGCTAGTTAACATAGAAACTCTATTTCTGGTCTTTTGTAAAAAAAAAAAAAAAACATTAAAACATGTCATTTTTGGGGAGATCACATGGTAAATAGAGAAGAAACTTAAAAACACTGTTATAGGAAGCTAGAAAAAAATGAAAACTCATATAGCACCGAAACATTTGATAAAACTGTTGACTATAATAACCTAGAAGGAAATAATTATGCTAAAGGTACTCATGGCATTGGGTTGGAAAGTTTGGGGGGTAGATATTCATAGTATAAGTTGATTGCTATTACTCCACAAAAGAGATAAGTTTGGAAAAGAACTCACTGGTTTACAAACAGGATTGAGGGTAATTGAGAGAACCCAGGAATTCTGGAAATTGAAAGTTTTAAAAATTAAACAATTTCTTTTTATAGAGAGCATTTCCATTAGAACATTGGCATAAAGTAAAGCTAAAGTCAAGAAAGCAGTCATCACACCCATTGGTAAGATCCCTGAAAGATTAAGGAGTCTGAGGGTGCATCTCACAGATGCCCAATATGTGCAAAGTATCTATATTTACATCTAGAAAGAAGCATGCCTCTAAAAGAATTATGGTGAGGCATTTGGCACATGTAGTTGACTGGAATCAAACAGAAAACCCACAAAGTTTTTCAGAGAGCCGTGTTGGCAAAATTGCCACCAGCTTGGATTTAAAAAGACTATGTCTATTTGAGATACTTAAGGCTCTCTGAACCCCCAAAATTTTACAGGCAGGAAGCAGGCTGAGTAATCTGCTCACCTGTCAAGAGGGCATATTCTCCAGTACTCATCAGAAAATCCAAAAATGACAAAGGAAGGAGTTCCCAAGACAAAAGCCAAGACTCATGTACTACAATAGAGTGGTGATCAACTCCCAGGTGCAGAGCAAGGGCCTAAGCAAAATAGATGCCAATCTCTTTGTAGAGGAACCTGGCAAGATTTGCCTAGCAGAATTTCAAAATTGCTATAGAATAGTGACTTCTATGTTTCTTCCAGTTTTCTCCTTGTTGCATGCAGCTGTTTAATTTATCCTGTCCATATGCCAACATTGCATCTTAAATATGTGGGGGCAGATAATATATCTTTTCAGCTTATAGATGTCCAGATAAATAGCAGCTCCATCTGGACCTGACATGGATCATGAGATCCTGGACTTTGAATCTGATGAATTAGGTGAGATTTTGTGGGTTTCTTAGGACGGCAGTGAGTATATCCCAGATGCAGAAGGAGCATGAACAATTGTGAAAAGAGTGAAGACTGTGGTAGACAAAGTTATTATTTTCAATCTGTATTCCCTTCCTATTATAAAACTATATATTCACACTTTTTCCCATGAAACTTGCAGTTCTTCCCACAATGAGTGAAAAATACTTCCTTGATTCATTTATGTTGGGCTTGGCATGAGAATTGTTTTGGTTAATGAAATGTTAGTAAAGGAGACAGAAGCAGAGATTATGACTTGTGGCATTATCTGGCTTATGCTCTTGCACTTCTGTAGTTCTCCATGAGAAGAGCACGCCCCAGATAGCTGCTGGCCCAGAGAGACATAGAGACAAAAGGAGCAGATCTGATCCCAACTGACAATATAGAGCCAAGATAAACTGAATCTTCCTAAGATCAGTCATCTTCCAGCTGACCCACAGAACTGTTATTGAAACAAAGGAATGTTTGATATTGTAATTCAGAGATTTTAGAATTGTTTGTTTCATAGCACTATTACAGGATAAATGCTGACTGATATAGTTTATGTTTGCTTATTGTCTGCCACCTCATGGGAATATAAGGGCTAAGCTCTATGAAAAGAGGAATATTTTTGTATCTTGTTTATCTATGTATTCCAGTGGACAGAAACATTCTAGATGGATAGTCATTGCACAATAAATATTTTCAAGTGAATAAATGAAAAATATAATTTATAGTAAGAAACTACCAATTTAACCTTTTAGAACTTTATCTTTTAGAGCTTTATTTGGGTATATCAGTTACTGAAAAATTAAGGTTAAACTCTCAGTGGGTAAAGAAGAATGACATATCTATAAGAAAAGAAGCCATTTGGAATCCTTCACAAGAAAGTATTAAAGATCTCCTAGAGTGATGTTACAGATGTCTGGTATGGAGACCAACTGAAGTGACTGGCATAATTAATTGAATTGAGAAAAGAGCATTGCTGTTGAGATAGTGTCCCAGTCATCTCTGTATCCGTAGCTCCAGCACAGAGTGGGCTCTCAATACATGTGTGTTAAAATAAATTAACTTTCAGAGCTCATAGAAGATTTTATACCTTTTTATACCCCAGTTGGCCTTTAGTACTTGAAGATATTAAAATGATATCAGCAAATAACGCAGGCTTGTGCCTGATCCTTTGCTCTGCCCAAAACTCTCTGACTTGGGAGGAGCTTGGTTGTGCCTTTGGAGTCAGCCTTGGAGAACATGGGGAATCCGTTCCTCAGATGAAAAGGTAGGAACTCTGCATATACTCTTAACTCATTTTTTTAGCTTTTGTATTCTCTAGATCAACCCATTTTACTTTCCTATTCTTGCTTAGCAATTTTTTTCCTTTAACTAAATTTCCCACCCTTAATTTACAGCACTAATTCTACTGAACAGTTCATTTTTCATCCACTCTTACCCAGCCTCTATTATGTACTGCATAGTATGCTAAATCCTTGGACTATCACACTCTGAGGAAGACATCGTTCTTCTACCAACGTGTCTATTGGAGAGGGACAGATAAATAATCTGATTGTATTGCTTTAAAGTAAGTGCTACAATTAAATATTCATCACAAGAACACAAAACTAGAGTATCTAATGATACTGAGGGACCAAGAAAAATGGACTTTGAAGGAGAAGTGGGAAATAAAGAAGGGGGATAATGAGGTGAGAGAAATTAAAATTACCCTGAGCATGTTTGTGTTGATGCTTATAGGAAGGGAGTCCCTGTAATAAGAAAAGAAATACCTTAATCAGTGTATCCCTGAAAGAAAATTACATGGCTGAGCATATATACACTCTGGTACTAATGACCATATATACACTCTCGTACTAAAGAAAAAGGGAAAAAAAGAGTTTGTAGAGCCCCTAAAGGCTCCTTCCTGGAGTATGGTACAACTACCTTATCACAGTCTCAAGAAAAGTGATGAAATGGCAAGGAACCACTAAACAGCAATTATTCTGGGAAGGAGAGAAAAGCAGAATCCTGATTGAAGCAGCTCGTCCACTTGTCCACTTGTTGAAGGTAAGTGCCTGGGTTTTTTGTTTGTTTGTTTGTTTTTTGAAAGGCACTTGAAGTCTGTAAAGAGAGATTAAAAAGCAAAAGCAAGTGAAGAGAGTCTGGAAAATAAAAACAAGACAGACCAAATTGTATAATAAAAAAGAAAACAGGATGGAATTTGGTCTGACATAGTGAGGGTGTGAAAGGATAAAGGATCATCAGAGCCTGGAGCACTTTATAGAAACTAAAAAAAAAAAAATTCTTATAGGTTGATGGATGAGCTAAGATAAGGCACCTGAAGGCCAAGAGTTCAAGAGTTTACATGGTCAATTTAAAAGTTTTCTGACTTAGTAGAGGGCATTTTTAAAGAGAGCTGGAAAATGCTTGGCTAATTAAATTTGTGAATTAAATGTAAATCCTGAAAAGTGTTTATTTTATGTCTGCTTTCTATTTTTTTTAATCTTCCATGTATGTCAAAACTGAATTGTGCCAATAATATATAATGTTAGTCTTTTAATGATATTTATTTTCTCTTCTCTCTTTTTTTATTGACACATAATAGTTGGACATATTTATGGGATACATGTGATATTTTGTCACATGCATATAATGTATAATGATTGAAACAGTGTAATCATGATATCTACCACCTCAAACAAGTGTGATTTCTTTGTGTTAGGAATAGTCCAAAGCTTCTCTTCTAGCCATTTGGAAATATACAATAAATTATGTTTTCTGCAGTTGTCCTACTGTGCAATTGAACACTAGAACTTATTCTTTCTAACTATATTTTTGTACTCATTAATAAAACTCTCTTCATCCTGCCCTTTCTCCTCCCCTTCCCAGTCTCTGGTAACCGTCACCCATTTTCCACCCTCTACATCCATGAGATCCATTTCTTTAGTTTCCAAGTGTGAGTGAGACATGCAGTATTTGTCTGGCTTATTTCACTTAACATAATGTCCTCCTGTTCCATCCATGTTGCCGCAAATAATAGGAGTTCATTCTTTTTATGGCTGAATAGTATTCCATTGTGTATATATGCCACATTTTCTTTACCCATTCATTGTTGATGGACACTTAGGCTAATTCCATATCCGGATATTGTGAAAGTGGTGCAATAAACATGGAAGTGCAGATATCTCTTTGATATATTGATTTCCTTTCTTTTGAATATATACCCAGAAGTGGGATTGCTGGATCATATAGTAGTTCGATTTTTAGGTTTTTGAGAAATCTCCATGTTTTCCATAGGGGCTATATGAATTTACGTTCCCACCAATAGAGAACAAGTATTCTCTTTTCTCTGTACCTTTACCAGCATATGTTTTCTCTTTTTTCCACTATTATATTATTATTTCAAAATATTAAGGGGGTACAAATATTTTTGGTTACATGGATCACTTTTGTAATGCTTGAATCATAGCTATAAGTGTGCCCATTACCCAAATAGTGTTCACTGTACCCATTAGGTAGGTTTTTTCCCCTCCTCTCCCCTGCTTGATTTCCACTAAGTTTTACATTCCTTTGTGCACATGTGTCCTCATTGGTTAGTTCCAATTTAATAGTGAGTACATGTGGTGTTTGTTTTTCCATTCTTGTGATATTTCACTTAGGATAATGGTCTCCAGTTCCATATAAATAGTTGCAAAAGGCATTAATTTATCCTTTTTTACAGCTGAGTAGTACACCATGGCATACATATACTGCATTTTATTAATCCACTCAATTCATGATACCCCATAGTGGGATTGCTGGATCAAATGGTGGGTCTACTTTTAGTTCTTTGTGGGATCTCCATACTGTTTTCCATAGAGGTTGTACTGATTTGCAGTCCCACCAACAGTGTATAAGCATTCCATGTTCTCTGCATCCATACCAAAATATTTTGTTTTTAGACTTTTAATGAAAGGCATTCTAAGAGGGGTAAGTTGATATCTCATTGTCATTTTAATGTGCATTTCCCTGATGATTGGTGATATTGAGCATTTTTTCATGTTTGCTGGCCATACATCTGTCTTCTTTACAAAAGCTTCTGTTCATGTGTTTTGCCCACTTTTAATGGGGTTGTTTGGGTTTTTTTCTTGCTGATTTGATTGAGTTCTCTGTAGATTCTGGATATTAGCCTTTTATCAGATGTATAGCTTACAAATATTTTCTCTCATTCTGTAGGTTGTCTATTTGCTCTGTTGATTATTTCCTTAATGGTGCAAAAGCTTTTTAGTTTAATAAAGCTACATTTATTTATTTTTGTTGTTACTATAATTGCCACTGGGGTCATAGTCATAAATTCTTTGCCTGGGCCAATATCTAGAAGAGATTTTCCTACATTTTCCTCTAGAATTCTTATGTTTCCATGCCCTATATTTAAATCTTTTATCTATCTTGAATAATTTTTGTGAGTGGTAAGAGATAGGGGTCCTGTTTCATTTTTCTGCATGTAGCTATTCACTTTTTCCAGCACCATTTATTTAATGGAGCTTCATTTCCCTAGCATTAGTTTTGCCTGTTTCTTTATGTATCAGTTGACTATAGGTGGATGGTTTTATATCTGGGTTCTCTATTCTGTTCCATTGGTCTATGTCTCTATTTTTGTACCAATACAATGCTATTTTAGTTACTATAGCTTAATAGTATAATTTTCAGTGTGGTAATATGATGCCTCCAGATTTGTTCCTTTTGCTTAGGATTTCTTTGGCATATGCTATTTTCTATCTTTCTGATAATAGCCATTTTAACTTGGATGAGATTATATCTCAGTGTGGCTTTGATTTGTATTTCCCTGATGATTAGTGATATTGAACATTTTGTCATATACCTGTTGGACATTTGTACACATTCTTTTGAAAAAGACCTATTTCAGAACTTTTGCCATTTTTAACTTGATTATTTGGTTTATTTGCTATTGAGTTGTTTGAGTTCCTTATATATTCTGGTTAGTAATTCCTTGTTGTATGGATATTTTGCAAATATTTTCTCCCATTCTATAAGTTGTCTCTTCACTTTGTTAATAGTTTCTTTTGCTGTGCAAAAGGCTTTTAGCTTGATGTAATCTCATTTATTTTTTGCTTTTGTGGCCTGTGCTTTTGAGATCTTACCCGAAAAATCTTTGCCCAGATTGCCCAATGTTTCCTCCTGTATTTTCATAGTTTCAGGTCTTACATTTAAGTCTTTAATCTATTTTGAATTGATTTTTGTGTATGGTGAGAAATAAGGGTCTAGTTTCATTCTTCTGTATATAATTGTCCAGTTTTTTCAGCACCATTTATTAAAGACTGTCCATTCCCCAGTGTATGTTCTTGGTACCATTGTTGAAAATAAGTTGGCTGTAAATGCATGGATCTTTTTTTCTGGGTTCCCTATTCTGTTCCACTAGTCTATATGTCTGCTTTTATGCCAGTTTCATGAGATTTTGACTTTTATGGCTTGGTAAATATATTTTGAAATCAGGTAGTATAATGCCTCCAGGTTTGTTCTTTTTGCTTGAGGATCACTTTGGCTATCAAGAACTTTTGTGGTTTAATATGAACTTTAAGATTGTTTTTTTTTTTTTTTTCCTGTGAAGAATGTCATTGGTATTTTGATAGCGATTGCATTGAATCTGTAGATTGCTTGGATAGTATGGTCATTTTAACAATATTAATTCTTCTAACCCAGGAATATGGGATGTCTTTCCATTTTTTTGTTGTTGTTGTTTTTGATGTATTCTCTTTAATGTCTTTCTCAATTTTTATAGTTTTCTTTGCAGATATCTTTTGCTTCTTAGGTTAAATTCATCCTTCTCTCTTTATTATTCCACTCCAATTGCTCATCCCACTATCCAGGAGGGCTATGCAGATGCAGTTTTCTAAAAATAAATCTTATTCTAATATTCCTTACAAAGAACTTGTTTCTCATATATGTATATGTCTCTTATGAAGAGGACAATTTTAGTAGGAAAGCATATAATCTGCCAGACAATTTTTCTTTCAAGGGACACCTTAACAGGAATTGTGCCACATTTCTTTATTAGCTGAGATATAAATCATAAAAAATCATAGATAATTCCCTCCTAACCACAAATTCTAATAAACAAACTATAAATAATTTTATGATTCTTCTGGCAGAAACCAAAGGCAAATCAAATAAAGGTGCAAATAGATAGATGCCATGATTATATTCACTTCTTTATTTAAAAAAAAATTTATCATTGACACATTTCATAATTAATATTTTCTATTGTATTCCTTTATATATTGTCAATAGTTTGAAAAACCAAAATGTTACTGAAAATAAATAGGGAGGGAAAAATACCTTGAAGAGAATGTGCCTGGTCAAAAATGGCTTATATTGTTACATACATGGTTATATTTGATCTTTCTAACAAATTTAGTAGGATAGGAAGGAGAGGTAACTGACCAGAGCATATAAGGGGATGGTCTTGTAGTCATAAATGCCTGGATTGGGATCCCACTCAGTTGTATGACCTAGGGCAGGTTAGTTAACATCTCTGAGGCTCAGTTTGCATCACTACTACAACAGGTACAATAAAACCTACTTCATAAGTTTGTTGTGGGAATTAAGTGAAAGACAATAAAGGCCTTAGCACACAGGACTAAATAAATAAGTCTATAAATTATAGCTAGGATTAGTATTGGAAAGGTGTTGCTATTTTTTTCCACTTAACACATGAGAAACTAAGATAGAGAGAGGCTAATTGACATCGTGTCCAGAGGCATGCCTATCCATGCTGCTAACCATATCGGGAGAACTTTCCTTCTTGGCTTTTCACATTCAGAGTCAACCTGTCCATGTTTAGCACTTCTAACAAGAAAAAATTAAAATTCCATTAGAAAAATATGTATTGATGTCATTTTAACTAAACTGTTAAATATTTGTATAAGAAATGAGTCAATCCAGTTGCAGTCTTTCAAAAAATGCAGAGTCACTGTGTAAGTATTGGCAGAACCCTGAAAGGTCAAACTTAATCTACAGAGTGGCCCATGGCAGTCTTTCCCACACCCCAAGCCCCATCCTTGCTAGCCAACTCTTACCGTAATGACATAATTAAATGGGTATAAAGTTCATAATTCTTATTCCTTTAATTAACTGGAGGAAAACCTCTTATCTTCTCAATGTTGAAGGTTCTGATGTTTTTCACTTTGCATAGATTTCAAAAGGCTACTGTTCAGTCTTCTCTGTAAGAATAATAAAAAAAGAACTAATTATTTTAAAAAATAAATGAGAATTTGGGTGGCAATGCAAACTTTCAATCAACTTATATAAGTCATCGCTAAAATTGGTTCTGTATATCTTGCTGTTGCTTTTTACCAAAAGATGTTCTAGATAACAAATCTAAACTTAGCAAAAGCCAAAATCACTGACTCAGAGGATTCTCTTGAAAGTTTGTCTGGACTCAAGGGGTACAGAGGCTAAAGTTCCTCAAGAAGAAAATGTGTCAACTTGGGACAAGACACAAAATGCACACTATATATTTTAGAAAAGTTTCTTATAACCTGTTCCATTGTTCCTTTGACCCTCCACTAATTTAAGAGTTCTAATGCAGGCAGAAGCTGAAATGGCATCATTTAGATATGTAATGGGTGATGCCACATAAAAGGAACCCAGTGATGACACTTACTTAGTCAGAGGAAGGCGTGTTATTTGTATTCTGTAAGCCAATCTCATTTGCCATGTGGTATGGGCAAGACCCAGAAATTTCTTTATGCCCCTCAAACAGAGGACTCAGAAGGGGCTGAGTTATTGGGCCTGGCAAGGGCAAAGTGGCAAACAGCAGGTGTCTCTTCCCAGACACTCTGGGAGGAGTTTCTAGGACTATCTGCTACTATATGGCAGAGACACAAATCACTGAGATGCAAAGACTGAGATGCGTCAGAGGCGTCTGGAGATTATCTGAGAGTACTGACCCAGCAATGGGCAAGCCAGTCCCAGAGCAAACCCACTGTTGACGCCTGTGGGGCAGAGAGCACTGGGCAGATGGGAGCTCTTGTTTTGGAGACCCCCAGAGCCAGAAATAGGACACAGACCCAAGCATCCCATGGAGACAGAGCAAGCAACGGATGTGGGTTAGGGCTGGGCAGGTTGTGCCCACACAACTGTGAAGCCTAAGTCTGCCATCTTCATTCAACAAACCGTGCCCCCTGGAGCAGGCCACGCAAGTCAGGAGGAAGGGAGCTTGTTTGGTATTAGTCATCACAGAGTGTGGGCGTTTTCAGTCTTGTAATCCACTCTAAGTCTGTGTTAGCTGTAGCCATATCTCTCAGATGCCAGGGCATTGTTTCGAGGAAGAAAAAATTAGAGTTAGTGGAATAAATCTGAAAGACTAAGCATTTTCCTAAAGAGACTAAGTCTTTGAAAGATGATGGCTTTATAAACCATCATAACTTTGAACAGACTAAATGTTAAAGTGAAAGGATACTTACAAACCAGAAGAGGCTGAAGTATTGCCAAAGGACAGTAAGTTGTTTTCACCATTTAGTGAGGTGGTAGTGTATGAGCCAGGTTGGAGTTTCTAGAAATTACAAGGCAGCATTTATTTTCTGCATATCTGTCGCATGAAGAAATGTACAACTCCATTGTGTGTGTTTAACACACGATTAGAGGTTTGTAACTTTAAACAATCATGGTTTTCTTCTGCATAGTGAGATTATGGATGTTCATATTTTTGAATTTTCACTTTTCATATCCTTCAATTTTTCTGCAATAATCATGCATTAGCATCTTAAAATCAAAGATGGACAAATGCTATTTTTAAATAATTTGTTTATATCTTCCAGTTGTTTTGGTCTTGACCCCAACTGTTTTAAAAAACATGTAAAGTATTTGGTCAGTCAGTCCTTTTCTAGTTCAACTAAAATTTATTTTTTTAATATATATATATATAAACTCTTTTTTATTCATAAATCCTTTTTAACTTTGCTCTGTTTTAATCCCTTTATTTCAAAGATCACATCACTTCTCTTTTTTTCTCTCAAAATTTCAAAATGGCCTTTGGCCAAATGCAATAAAATTTTGCCCTGACCTGACATAAAGAATAAAGTATGTATATGAAAGCACTTCGAAAACTTTAAAGGACTTTAAAAATGCATGGTGGTGTTGGTGGTGGGAAAGGAAAGGGGTGAGGGAAGAGGGGAGGAAAGAGAACCAGGGGGAATGATCTTCTCCTAACAGAAATATCAAAAATCCTTTCTGAATGAATTCACAAACATAAGCAAATGGAGTCATTATGTGACAGCCCCTGAATGCTCATGACATTACAAATTTAATCCCACGCTTTAGGAACATGGTACACCCCTTTAGACTAACATTTTTCTCCCTTTTGTTGTTGCTAAGAGCAATAGACCTCCTTCAACAAGTCTTCCCTCAGAACTATTGGTCTTATTCTGGGTGTGAACCCTGAGGCCACCTCCTATACCTATATTGTAAGAGCAGTCCTAAAAGTAGGTCCTAATTAGGAAAGCTTCTTTAAACCTGTAAATTATCTCTAGAGTTGGTTTGGGAATTTTGCTCTTTTGCGTGTGTGTTTGAGGGAGAAGATGTAGAGATCATAGAAGATGGAAACATTCTAAGACTGCTCTATAAATTTAGATCTCCTTAGAAGCCCTCCCTTTCCCTGCCAAGTTAAAAGAGATATAATCTATAGGCAAAGGGTCCATATTTACCTTCCAGTCTCCCCAGCATATGCCTAGGTCAGGCAAGTAAGTGATAAAGATTAAAAGCATGTACTCTGGAGTCAGACAGCTTGGGTTCAAATCCCAGCTCTCCCACTTACTACTTCTATGGTCTTGAGAAAAGCATCTGACCCCTCTTTGCCTTAAATTCATCATCCTAAAGTGAGGATTATAGAAGAACCTATTTTATAGGGTTCTTGAGAGTTTTAAATGTGTTAATATGTTAACTGTATACAACAGTACCTGATGCTAAGTGTCCCATAAATGCTAATCATTATTATTACGAAGATGTGAGTCCTCAACTATATCCAGACCACCACCTGACGTTCACACCCTGTCCCCCAAGTATGAAAATGCTGAAACGGCCTGGTTACTCTGAGAAAGAAACACTTCTCGTAGCACTTCACAGTCCAAGCGTGTGTGGCGATGACCTATTTGTGCATGAACAGATGTGTACCAAGCCCTCAGGATTCACTTGGGCAGCAACAGGGTCAGGTTCGTATTGAGTTGTCCGTACTTCTGGCTCCGTCAGCCCCGGGAAGACCCCCCAGCCTGGTTGTGGTTATGTAACGTACCTGTCTGGAGTAGGATTCAATGAAATGGTCTTACGCCTTATAGAAAACAAGCAAAGGAAATTTCTCAACATGGAAACAATGTTGAGTTCATGGATTTACTATTTTCTCACCAGGGTTTTTGCATACTGATGGCTCTAAAACAGGCATTAAAATGATTTCCATTTGGACCATATAGAAAAGCTAGAAAATGTGAGCACAAGAGCATGCTTTTATCCATAGAGTCCTTCTCTTTCTTTTTCCACCAAAGAAGAAATTACTACTAGGGCAATGGGAGTAGAAGAATCCATGGATATATGCTAATATTTTTCGAAAACAAAAGCATTATTTCTAGGATGCTATTATCATATCCTGGAAGGGCATCTTTTATATGATTCCTAGAATGTTATGGAGCTCAGCCAGATCGTTAGCATTCTTAGGTAAATTAATATTCATTGATATTTTTCAGAAGAATATGAAATTTTTCTGGATGGCATTAAAAATTGATCAGTTGGCCTAATACCACACCTCATACCTCTGCTCAGAGCATAAGTCTATCTCATCAACACACTTTGGAAAAATGCCGGAGTTAGTCCTGACCCACCCCTGCTCCGTTTTAATCCATTCATCAAACAAGTAGTTCCAGTATTATTCTTCTCTGACCATTCTCTTCTCTCCCCATCTCTTCCATTCCCTTTCTTATCTCCTACAATGTAGAAATATATATACTTTAATTATTTAATTAAATAATTAAATATATATATACTTTAAAAGGACCATAGAAAAATGAAGAAATTTCACATTTGTTTTGGGCAGGAGGGGTCGGCTTGGATTTCCAGAGTATAGCTCAATCCTCCACCACACACATTTCCTCCTACTCCAGGGACTGCATTTCATCTTCCATCCATCCAGCTAAGGAGAACAGAGGCTAATTTAGGAGCCTCTTTACGCCTGTACATATTCAGCCAGAGGGGTCACTGTTGATTGATGCAAGACACTATGTCCTCCAAGAGCTTGCCAAGTCCCTGCTGGTGCAGAGAGTAGCAACCAACAGTAAGTCTCCCTTTAGTGCCTGTGTATTTCTATGCCTCCAGCTAGAAACAGTCAATAAGCACCAGAGGCAACTTATGTTGCCTTAGATCACTAATAAATGCCTCACGCCACCACCTCAGAGCCCTCTTACAAGAACTATTTCTTTATAGACAGATGCCAAGTCCTAGCAGCCAATTACTACAGAGGTGCCTCAAGGCCTGAAAGAAGAGGCAGAAGAAAGAAGGCTTCTTTCCAAAGACAAGAGTTATGTGCCTCCTCCTAATAAAAATTATTATTTTTTTTTGAGCACTTCCTCTGAGCCAGACCCTGGGATGATGCTTAACCTACATTATCCCATTTATTCCCTAAGCTCTGGGACACATGGAGCACTAGCCCATTTTACAGATGAGAACACAGAGGCTCACACAGCTCAAGTAACTCCTACTTTCTGCTTCTCCACTCCCCTGTCACCCCCAGCTCCCCCAACTGCTCCTTACACACACAGAAGTTTGTGGATGTGTGTTACAAAAGCAGGTGGAAAACATCCCCATATGTCAGGCAACTAAGTTGATTTGGGGGCTTCAGGCCCCTGCCAGTCCTTCCACTACATTGGAAAGAGGTTCAATGTTTTGGTTACTCCACAGGCTGCCAGAAACATGCCCCATTATTTTCTGCCCATCATCTAGACGTTGTCAACCCTTCCAAAGCCTTCCCGCTTTATTTTATGAGTGTCACATATTCTGGCAAGTTCCTTTGGGTACTACAAAGGGTTGTGTGTTCACTTTGTACACAGAGCTATGATAGGTTCTGTATAGGAGCAAAGTGTCACTTAAAAAATAGATGATGTGGTCACTGTGTTAGGCCATTTGTGTTGCTATAAAGGAAATAGCTGAGGCTGGGTAATTTATAAAGAAAGGTTTATTTGACTCACGGTTCTGCAGTCTATATAAGAAGCGTGACGCCATCATCTGCTTCTGATGAGGGCTTCAGGGAGCTTCCAGTCATGGAGCAGTCGTGCCACAAGGCAAGAGAAGGAACACGAGAGAGAAGAGGAGGTGCAAAGCTCTTTTCAACAATCAGATCTCCTGGGAACTAACAGAGTGAGAATGTAACTCATTACTGGCAGGATGGCGCTAAGCCATTCATGAGGGATCTGCCCGCGTAACCCAAACACCTCCCACTACTGGGCCCCCCACTCCAACAACGGGGATCAAATTTCAGCATGAGATTTGGAGGGGACAAATATCTAAACTTAGTCAGTCACAGTCTTCCATAATTCTTTTCAACCATGTAACATTCCACAGTTAGCCAGGCCCTGCGTTAAGTTCTGGGGATAAAGAGACAAACATGCCCAGGCTATGGGTTTTATTCCTTCTCATCCCTCCACTGCTTTACCTCGATTTTGTAATTCCTAAAGAGTCTCGTTGTCTTTCTTCTCTCATACGTAATTTCCTAGGCGGATGTATGTGGCAGGCTGAAGCACCTGCATTAACCAAAAATTCACTTGAGTACTAACTGCAGAAAAACTAATGTCTCCACATTCTGAAAAACTCCTAAAGCTGGACGCTCGTTATGGTGTCAGGTTAGAGCTCTCAGCAGCCCACTTCATCTTGCTTCTCTTGTAGGAACTGAACCACACACTAGCATGATCTTTTGACTTTTTCTCAATGCTCCCTGGAAACTCACAACATGTGAACATTAAATACCCAAAATACTTACATATCTGGAATATATTCAGCATGCAGGACCCTGGGACGCTGCTTATGTGGTCTCTGAGCTGTTCTGAAACATTTCTCCAAAGTAAAGGGACACACATGAGCTCTCTCCTCCACAAGGCACTAGAAGGACCTACGGATGTGATAGATCCAGGCTTGAATTTAGGGATAAGAAGCACTATCTTTTTTCTGTGAGGGAGAAAAATGACTTAGTACCTTAAAGATAATAGCAATGCTAATAATGATAATAATATTTATTTCTACAATATTTCCACATTTCTCAAGCACTTTCACATCTACGGTTTCATTGGCTCTACACATCTTGGCCTAAACATTTTGATTTTTTTCTCAATGATAACACATCTCTGTATTTTATTTGATCACCACAACCAGAAAAGGAAAATTGTTATCCCCAGTTTATCAGTGGAGAAACTAAGGGTTAGAGAGAGTGATTTTCTCAGGTTATACAGCTAAAACTTTAAACCCAGGTGATCCTTCGCAAAGTCTAGAGTTTATTCCTCCCCATCAACCTTCACTGGGGCCACTGAGGCCCTTCTCTGGAGACTCACAGAGCAACTAAACCACGTGTGCCTAATAAGCCACATGTCCCACCTTCTGGGTAGAAGTCGCAATGTTAGGTGTGTGGCCATGGCCAATGGAACCTTGCCAAGCCTTTGTATGGACTGCACATCCAGTCCACTTCCAAAATCAAGGCTCCTAGAGAAGGGGTTTCTGTTGACACTTTCACTGCGTGCTTTATTATTCCTGTTTGTGTTGGCCCAGAGAGCCAGCAGCCAGGGACAGAAGGATGACTTTGAGCCAAGGGGCGGTCTGTTCACACCCCAGGGACGGGGTGTTCCACCAAGTTAGCTGCTGCTTGAAAGGACGGCTGCCGAGCAGTCCTGCCCGCTCCCCGTTTTGTTATCCCTGAGATAATAAATAAAGGCTCATTCTGTTGTGTCCAAAAGACCCTTTTCAGGAGACCTGCTCTTGCTGGAAGTCTCCTGAGGCCCCTTACCTGATTACAGTCAGATGCTGGGCATTTCAAATTAAATTAGAACAAATAACGAAAATGAAAGGAGAGTGGGAAGGAGGAGGAACAAACCAGCAAAAATGTTATTCATTTAAAGTAGCCAATGAGAAAAATGGAGCCCGAAAAACTCAACTAGTACTGGCAGAGATCGATGGTTGTCATCTAGTCTTAGGCTAAAAAGAGCCACAAGTGAGAATTTGTAGAGGTAACAGCTCCAGATCAATTTTGTCTAAAATATTCAACTGCAGATGTGGCTAGGTTAAGCAGGAAAATGTTCTAAATCTAGACTTGAATTCCTACAGCTCTCGGACTGATACGATCTCTATTTGGTTAAATGGTGGCATGTGCAGGATATGAGCTATAGGTCTTGGCAGGTGCTGAGAATATTTGTCCCATTGCACCATTTTTCCTCTATCAAGTCCTGCCAAGGATGAAGTGTCATTTGAGCTCTAAAGTCTTCCAGAGATGTTCTTACAGACTTACTGGAGTGTGAATGGATGGGAGGGTAGGAGACAAATTCTTGTAATGCCTGGTCTCAATATACTCCAATGTTAGTAAAATAGTTTAAAATTAAATGAAAGGATCATGGACCAAGATTACAGTGTGCCCACTACTGAGAGTGATTTCAAACAGATTTCTTCTTGTTCCATTATAAACAATTTGCAATCAGCCAGCCTAACAATGCTCCCAACTCCCTGTGGCCTCCTTGCTACCTCTTTACCTTGGTTATGCCTACGTCCACTTGCCCGATCCTTTGCCATCACCTATTTCAGCAACACTAAATATTGCTGGATCCTAGTATAGCATTAAGATATTTGATAAGACGATCTAGCTTCACCATCAAGATGCTGAAAGGACATTTACATTTAATGTGCTTTTTCAATCCTATTAGCCAAAGTAATATATTGTACAGTAAAGTATATTGTTTTATTGCAGTACTCTCATCATGAAGAAACAACGAGCACACAGAAACATAATTTCATATGCTATCGTCTGTCACTAGAGAAGGGCTCTTCAACAAACTCAAACCCAATTTGGACAAAATAAGCTAATAGATGCTAGAGGGTTAACTTCCTTTTGTGCCAAAAGCTAGTTATATCACATAATAAAGGCCATTATTAACTAGGGAAAGAGATTCAAGAGAGCATAAGGGATGATTATCTTATGAGACATTCTTGCATCTAGCATTAAACCTAAAACTTGGTCATGTTGCTGTCCCCTCACATCACTCTTCATTTAGCATCTACTGTCCAGTCATTAAAAAAAAAAAAAAAAGAAACTTTAAAGTCTAAAAAGGAGCTGATGCTACTGGGTATTTACTCAAAAATGTAACAACTCCTTATTTAAAGAAAAACAACAATTAAGCATTCAGGAATGATCAGTGAAATATCTCTTAAGGCCATTATTTTTAGCTGAGCATTGTTGTGACTGTTTCCATGGCTAAACCATGAACATGTTTTTTGCACAAGCCTGGTCAGCTAGTGGCCTTAATTAACTTTCAGATGGAGAATGCTGCGGTTTACCACTTATTAAATATCCACTACACTGAGTTACAGTTTTACCCTTCCACACCTCACTTAGTCAAGACACCTCAAGGAACCCACGGTGCTGAATAACTGGTGATTTAAAAATATGTACCACGTGTAATTTTCACACTGAACACATAGGCTGTGTGGTAAGTTTTCACTAAAATCTGGGCAGCTTTCATTTCCAGATGGAATGATACAATTTGTAAATCAAGCAACAGGGTAAGTCACTCAGAAAGAAAGAGGCAAGGTGTGTACTGTAGCTAAAAGCTAGTAAGCTTCTTTGATTCACAGGAATTCAACAAATATTTATGAAGTGTTTGTTTGGCATTCTGAATACTGAGTATTCTCCTAGGTTCTTCATGCATACTACAAATTTGCAGGAGGTGATTACGTGGAATTCAGGATATGGTGGAGAAGGAAGAGGACCATGACAGTATTCAAGATTTTTAAACAGTATGCCCCCTAGAGAAGAAAGAAAGTATAAAATTGCTCATCAAACTAATCTACTCTTAATACAACATATAAGTAGACTAACCAGGCTCATTTAACGAAGCATTTTATTCATGAGGGAGATGATGCAGTTTGAGATTCAATTGAGACAGAATTAGCTTTTGTGATTAGCTAGGTTGAATGGTTAAGGTATAGTAATAATGACATCATTATTTCTTCTCTCTCATACAATATTCAGAGACACATTCTTTCCTTCTCTCTCTCTCTCTCTCTCTCTCTCACACACACACACACACACACACATACACACACACACCCTCACATATCTGTTTGGATTTGGATTGTGAATCTTCAACTAGTGTTGTCTGTGTATCAACTTGTATATTGCCATAAAAAAAAAGTGAATTCACCTCTCGTTGAAATTCCACTGTGTATAAAATGGTCTTGGAATTTGAAGGAAGAAAAAAAAAATCCTTCTACAAAGAGAACATGTGAAAAGGCCAAGGGAGAGCATAACTGAAAAAATATATAAAAATGCAAATTTTCCTAAACTTCAGCTTTGGATGGACTGAAGCATAAGTGAGAACTTCAACAAAGCAATAGAAAAAGATGACAGCTCAGAGTTTCAGAAATTTAAGACAGCAGCAGGATTAGACACTTTGGGTTGTCTTCGCACACATTTCTTATGGGAGTTAATTCCATTTGACATGCAAGACCAAAGCAAGATTACAGAGGCATAGCCCCATGGCGAGGTGTATGCTGTAGCTAAAAGCTGGGATTTGAATAATTGTGCAGGCTTACTCCAAGAATCAGGCGAGAACAGAATGAATGGATTATTACAAGGAACTTTGTACATTTTTAACTGCTGGACTTAATAAAATACCCTCTATGTGAGAATAGTGTTATGGTCGTCTGCACTTACTCTCCCTGAAGTTTGTGGTAGGATCTATCAAAAATGAGGAAAAACAGAAGCTGGTTAAAAAAAAAAAAAAGAAGGAAAGAAAAGAAAAGAATTTGAGATGAATAACTGGGCTGGGTCATGCCTGTATGATTTACAGAGGAACAAAAAATTTGGAGAACTTTAGATCAACATATTCAAGCTCCCCCCCAAAGTTACAGGGAATTCATTTCCTGTGCAAAGAAGTTTGAGGAAAGTCGAGAGCAGAGTTCAGGGAAAGTGGGCCACAAAAAGGTGGATTTTTATTTCACTATTTCAGCTCGTTAAGGAGGTCATTTGTTACTGGGAAAAATTACTAACCCACACATCATTTTATATATATATGTGAATAAATGCGACCTCTTTCCTTGGAATCCGTGGGAGCACTTGTCTGTAAAAGGCAGAAAGAGTAACAGTTCTAAAGACTTCTCACTGCTTAATTAACTGTCCAGTGAGAATTATTAAAATTCTTTATATAATTCTTATTTAGTGCTCATTAAAGTGAAAGATACAAATGCTGGACGATGCACGGTTCAGAGAAGCTTTAAGAAAGGAAAGTTAGTCTTATAATAGCTGAGAATTATGAAAAGCTGCCCATTAACAGTAGCCAAGTAGACCTTTCATTTTAAAAGTCACTGATTCAGATCTGAAATGATTTGATTTGATTTTCCTCCCTTAAAATAGTCTTCATCTCCTCCTCTCCTGAAAGCTCATATCTGATCCCTCCTGCGACCGTAACTAGCCTAGTGGGGAGAGAAGTCAACTTGGAAGAGGAGAAAAATTGCTCCGGGGCCATGGCACTGGGGCGGTGCGCCCTCTGCCGGGAAGCCGGCCTGCAGTCCAGTTTGGGAAAATTCCCCCACGTAGCCTGGCCCTAAGGAAAGCAAACGACATGCACATTGTCAAAAACCTCTATCACGAGTAGCATCTCTTTCTCATCACCATACATGGAGGCTAGGGGAGGGGCATGAAGGTGCGAGTGCTTCGTTAAACCGGAACTCAAATGCAGCTCTCTTCACAAAACATGCCTGACAACATCGGCCTGCCATGTAAAATGGCAACAGGAATGATGAACGCATTACAAATTTGTAGACCCTAAAATTAAACTCCACCTCCTTTATTTCACGTTTCAGCAAGGCTGAGGGTGCCTGACAATAGAGGCACAGATCTTTCCCGATAAGCTC